ACAGATTGTTGCGGCACATCTCAATCAGTGTCGCCTCGGAAACTTGGTCCCGACAGTGGACTGATCGATTTCGAAATCTCTTTACGAAGTCGTTAACTGACTCCGACTTACGCTGCTTCTCAGCGAGGAGAGTGGCCATTGACACTTCCGTGTCGTCGTCGAAGAAGCGGGCGAGGAAGAGCTTTTCGACGTCGGCCCATGCCTTGATGGAGCCAGGCTCCAGTTTGCGGAACCACTCAAAGGCCACCCCCTTGAGGGTACCTATGAATAGTCGGGTGAGAATGGCGTCGTTCCCGGTGAGGAATCCGGTCTGCGCCATGAAGTAATAGATATGTTGCGAGGGTGACCCCTTGCCATCGAACTGCACCAAACTGATTGGTTTGAACTTCGCCGGGTATGGGACCGTGTCCCATTCGATAGGGTAGGGACGTACCACCCCCAGCTTGTTCATGTTTTGCTGAAGCTTCAGCGCGTTCAGTTGGTCCTGGAACTCGTCGAATCTTTTGTCACGGGTGCTATCCGCGGTGTGCGACGTTCCTATCGATGTTTTGGAGGAGTAATCGGATTGTCGATCATCCTCCGTCTCAGCCGCTGGACGGTGAGGTGGTACCCATTCTTTATCCCTAGTCTGCCGGGGCAAGGGACGTTGGGTTCCCTTCTTTTTCTTCTTGCTCAGCAGTTGCTCCATCATCTCTCTTAGAGAGTCGATGGTCGCCTGCTGTGCCTCCAACTTTTGAGCCATTGTCTGCTCGTGGTTGGTATCGGTCATGTGCGCCCTCGCCTGCGCGTCTTGACTTGAGCGCGAGGTCTGGGATGTGGCCGCCGCCGAATGAACCTCATCTTCGCCGCAGGAGGGAGGTATTAGGGTGGAATAGTCAAACCCAATACTTACCCCCCGGCGACTACGGGTTCGCTGGAATATGCCTTCCTGTCGGCGTCGAGCGAACCGGGTGTTAGGTCTTAAGACGGAGTCCGAGTCTGGCGAGTCGGAGAGTACCGCCTTCCCTTTATCCGTCATGTTGACTGTGGCGGATGAGAGTTCCAGGTCGTCAGCAGCGCGTCTTTTCTGGTGACGGCGCCTTCGACGGGAGGGCCTCGGTCGAGAGGCCTGTTGAGAAAGCCTCTCAAATACCGAAGGTTTCGCCGTTCCAACGCATTGGCAGTCGGCGAGGACCGTGTGGATGAGTCTCTCGCAATGACACTGAGGATTCGCCTCGTGAATAGTGCGTTTGCGAGTCAAGAATTCTCTGAGGTCTTCTACGGGTGGTTGGTGACAACCCCGGGCCTCAGAAGAGTCGCTCTGGTGAGCTGACGAGAGATTTTTGGGCGCTCTCTCTGGCGCGTGTTGGGTGGAACGCCTTGGTGTTGGAGTCAGGCGATCTCGCCTTGACTGGCGAGTCTTCGCGTTTGAGCGAATTCCAGTATGTGGGCGAGTTTCGACCCCGTGTTTAGAAGAGCGGGTTCGGGAGGAACCGCCTATTTCCTTTCCTTTACGTTTATCCGCCAAATGATTATGGCGAGGCTCGCCAGCCTTCGAGGATTCGCCTACTTGGGTAAGCTCGTATGCTCGGTGTGGTTTGTTCGCATCAGGGATATGACCTGAGAAGCGAAGTCCTCCTGAGCGGATGGCTCTGCTGTCCTCGGTTGACGCTCCTGATTTGGAGGGCCTTCCGAGGTCGGGCAGCTTGCCTTCCTGTCTAGTGTTTCTCGGGCCTGTGTGATGGTTCAGGCCATTATGAGAAATGGAGGTTTGGACCCCCTGTCTGACGGGTGTTTGCCGTCGCTGTTGGTTAGTTCTCCCAGCGGGGAGAACGTCACCGTGGGTTGTGGCATTGCGGTTTGTGCCGGAGTGAACCGGCGCTTCCTCCGAGGTAGGTGTCTGTGTGGACCGCTTGGCGATCCATCTGGCAGACCCTTGCCTCTTGCGCTCGATCTCTGGCTTGGCCTTGATCGATCGCGAGGGAGTGGGCTCCTCCGATGAGACTCGGTTGGAACCCTCGGGTGCGGAGGCTTTGACCGTCTGAGGTCGGCCTCGGCGCACAGCTCTGTGGCGTTTGCGGGACGCATTGCCACCCGAGGAGGAGGAGGACAAGTATTCTTCGTACTTGGCCTGGTCGAACTCGATTTCGAGGGACTCTACTGTCGTCCCGATAGTAACCTCATCAAACTGAGCCACCACCATTTCACTCGATGAAACAGCTGCTCCCACTGTGGTCGCCATCTTCTGTAGGGTGAAAATTTGATTCTTCCGAAGAAAGGAGTTTCGTTTGTATTTATAAGAAAGCTTATTACAAACTAACAAATCAAATGTTTACAACAGAAGCAGAGGGAAGGCCCTCTTTGTTTTGTGTGGGGACTTTAGGTGGCTATAGGACGCTTCGCTCGATGCTCGGGTCGAGTCTGCTTCCCTTGGACCGTTTGAATGAGGTTGCTGGAGAGCTTCAGTTCGCAGTAGAAGCTCGGGGCAATGGAGTTCGGGTCTGCTTGGTTCGTCGGCGATCGGAGCTCGGAACTAGGCAGCAGTGCTGTAATGCAAGGATTTGCTAACAGCTTGGTCTCAACTCTTTTTTCTCCAAGTTTTGCGACCTCTCTTCCATCGTGCTGGAAGGGGTTTTTTAAATGAAAGAAGGACAGCTTGACTTCTCCTTGAATTGTGGGATGTGACCACATCCTCTTCAGAGACGTCTCGCCGTTCCTCGATACCATGAATGGTCATTCCAGGGATTGTGCTCTATGTCCTGTCACCTACGATGGGAAGGCCCATTCTCGTATGTGAGGCAACGGACGACTGCTATCCGAGTGGATTTGACCAGCATTAATGAACCGCATTTATGAGTTCGCAGATCGATGAAGTGTCTGTCCGATCACTTGTACTGTGCGTGACCGCCCGGCGTGCTTTGAGCACGGTGCTTTCTCCTTTCCGGTCAGGGGAGGCGGTGAAGTAGGTGTACAGTACTCGAGTGGGTCTAGCCAGCTTGCCGAGTGCCGGCGGATCCAGCTCTTGGCTCAGACAGCCGAGGGGAGTCGCATTTATGAATGCTCAGGTTGACTCGACACCTGTCCAGGCCTTCGTGCTGCGCGTACTGCGAGCGGCCGTTTGACGGTCCGCGAACTTCCGCCATCCTGATCGATCTTGACTCGTGCTGGCGAGCCGACCGTAAGGCGAACCTAGAATCGAGCATGTGCGATGTCCATGCGATTTAGGCCCGTGCCAGAGAACCGGGCGTGCGAGCAGGTGAATTTCCTGTAAGCCCATAGAGGTATTTTTTACCGTCTACACGCTCGCTGGGATGTCGACATCATCATCTCACTCATCTGAATCAGCGAGGAGCAAGCCTGAGATGTAAGTATTAACCCAATCATTCACATTTGACCCCCCCCCGACTGCAAGCGAGTCGCTGGAGTACCTCTGCCAAACCGAACAGTGACGCTCGCTGGGATGTCGACATCATCATCTCACTCATCTGAATCAGCGAGGAGCAAGCCTGAGATGTAAGTATTAACCCAATCGTTCACATTTGACGATTTAATGTGTTTGGCACTGTGATTTTAGCCGTATTAGAACTCTAAGTTGAAGTAGTATCTGTTGTGTTATGTTTTACAGTACGCATAATATTAGAATTTCTTGCAATATACGTGGATATTGTACATTCATGGATGGAATTGCTCCACGGATGAGGGCTGAACATTGGAGGGCGTATGGATCCTCCAATTTCAAAAATTATGTTAGTTTTGGACCAATTCCAGCGGACAAGGCTACGATTATGTTGCTTCTAGATCATTTGGATTTAGCCACGGGGAAGTTCTTTTTCAAGGATAGCCAAACTAGGACTCCACAAGCGTATACTTTTGATGTAAATTGGGTGCGTAAACATACCCGGTTTAATGATGAAGGAGATAAACCCGAAGCCAACCGCGACACAGAGAATAGGATATGGAACACATACTTCTCCAACAAACAACAATCGCAATACAAGAATGGCCGAGACTACCTTGAGGCCCTATTGGAAAGGTTGGTTCAGTCAAGAAAGAGGACAGATGTTTCTGATTTTGTTATGCTTCAAATCCTCTATCAACTCACAATGATATGGACTCCGACCGCAAGAATGAATACACCCCGACATATGTTCAAATATATAGCTCGAATAGATATGGTTGATAATTTGCCATGGGCGACGATCATCTACAAGGAATTGTGGGACTCTTTCAAGGCTGCGAAGATAGCGAAGAAGGGGCAGACATATCTCATCGGCTGCGCTCCCTTGCTATCGGTGAGTTATATGTGTTATTTGTAAGTAATATGTTGCATTTGCACCTTATCTGTGATCATTACGTTTTACATGTGATATATGACATTTTTATGTGACATTTGTATCTAATATGTTCATTGATTGAATGTGGCCTTTTTTTGAAGCTATGGTATTATGAGATTTTCTAACATCAAAGAGCCGGCAAGAGTGGATGAATCCAAGCCTCTAATGATAAATTGGACATTGGAGGGTAAGAAGGTGGGTTCGGTGCGGACTACAATGATTTTGAAGAAATCGGAAGCCGCAATCCACATCTTACCGAAGCAAGATGTGGCGAGGTATGTTCACGAGGAGATAAAGCCCAGTCCTACAACGGTGAAGGCTAAAGTTGAGGAGGAAGTTAGGGGTAAAAAATCATTGGGGAAGAAAAGAGTCCAAAAAGAGGTAATGTTGATGATTTGGATGTGTCATCCTCTTATTTGTGACTTTTGCTCACTATCAGTTTATTGTTAATGTAGGACGAAGCTTATGAAAAATTGGTGATGTTGAATGAAGCCTATGAGCAAGCACTTGTTGCTCGCGGCGTTGATATTTTGGCTATTAAAGCCGAAACTGAGAAAAAATTTGCTGAGGAGAAACGTATAAGGCAAAACAAAGGAGAGGTAATAGCCTATGTCCTGTGTCACATGAGGGGGAAAAATTATTGAGAAAATATTTGCTGAATTGAAATTGGTTATTGTTTTTACATCTATGCAGCCACAAATAGATGAGGCATTGAGTGAAGGTGATCAAACCCGAGAGATGGACATTGAACTGGAGGAGGTAACTCTCCTTTGTGATATTTGTTGTTTTCCTGTGACATTTACAGCTTATTTGTGATAGTTCCCTTTGGTATGTGACAATTGTCTGCCTATTGTGACATTCATATGTCTCTTGTGACATTTTGTCTAATAATGGGACGTAAACAGTTTAGTGTAATGTTTGGTTATTACCTGTGATATATATTCATGTCTTATTTATGTGATATATATTCATTAACTGTGAGTGGTATACAGGCTAAAGTTGAGGCAGAGAAAGAAGAAGGATGGGACGTAAACAGTTTAGTGTAATGTTTGGTTATTACCTGTGATATATATTCATGTCTTATTTCTGTGATATATATTCATTAACTGTGAGTGGTATACAGGCTAAAGTTGAGGCAGAGAAAGAAGAAGGGAAGGGAGAGGAGGGAGGCAAAGAAGGTGATCAAACCCAGGCCATGGGCAGTGAACAGGAGGTAACTTTCTTTTGTGATATTTGCTTATTGCATGTGACATTTACTGCTTATTTGTGATAGTTCCCTTTGGTATGTGACAATTGTCTACATATTGTGCCATTCATATGTCGCTTGTGACATTTTATCTAATAATGTGACGTAAACAGTTTACATGTGATGTTTGGTTATTATTTGTGATATATGAATATTTCCTGTGATATATATTCATTAACTGTGATCTTTATACAGCTATGTGATGTAAAAGTTGCTGAGGATGTTCCCAAAAAGAAGAAGGGAAGGAAGAGGAGGGAGGGCGGCGATGATACTTTAAAAGTATTTGTTAGTGGGCTACGGGCAAAGAGCCAAAGAACAACAAAGAAGCCCAAGTTCTTAGAATCTCCCTTCCAAACTGAATTGCCAAAGAAGGGAAGGAAAGGGAAGAAAGGTGTCGTTGTGGTGGGAGACGACGACGACAAGGGGGAGAAGGATGAGGGGAAGCCACTTGCTGTTTCACACCTCGGTAGGAGTACATCTGTTGCAGAGCTATGGAAAAGGGAAAAAAGTGAAGAGGAAAAAAAATTATTAGAGACGTTGAATATGGGCATTCCTTCTTCACAAGACTTTGATGTCAGGCTACCGGGAACAATCAACGAAGGCTTTTACCATAATTTCACCGTTGAGGACATTCCTGATGTGTTGGCTGATGAGAACAAGTGGCTTCAACATTTTCTTACATTGAAAGTTGACAAGTAAGTATTAAGTGTTATTCTGTGATATTTATATTTGGTCTGTGATATTAAATGTTATTCTTGTGACATATAGTGTTTTCCTGTGACATTCAGTGTTTGTATGTGACATTTAGTATTTGTTTGTGACATTTATTGTTTGTATGTGACATTCAGTGTTTGTATGTGACATTTAGTGTTTGTATGTGACATTTAGTGTTTTGTATGTGACATTCAGTGTTTTTATGTGACATTTAGTGTTTGTATGTGACATTTAGTGTTTTGTATGTGACATTCAGTGTTTTTATGTGACATTTAGTGTTTGTATGTGACATTTAGTGTTTTCATGTGACATAGTATTTTCATGTGACATTTAGTGTTTGTTTGGGACCCTTAGTGTTTTCATGTGACATTTAGTGTTTGTATGTGACGTTCAGTACATGTATGTGATATTTAGTGTTTGTATGTGACATATAGTGTTTTCCTGTGACATTTAGTGTTTGTATGTGACATATAGTGTTTTCGTGTGACATTTATTATTTTCCTGTGACATTTTGTATTTTCCTGTGACAGTTTGGTGTTGATTAGAATATGTCGCTTATACATTGATTGTCTTCTACATTTTGTAGTCGGTTATGTTTTGAGGTTGAAGGCCACACTATATGCAGATATGATATGCTACATCTTCTACGTGGTGGAAGATTAAAGGATGAGGTTAGTTTTTGTTTAAGTTGCGGTGTTAATCAAGTTTTGCACAATTACAATAACTTATTACATTTGCAATCATCAGATCATTGAAGCTCTGGTTGCAAGTCTTCGAACATGGCTCAAGCTGCCAATAAATGCCCATGTCGAAAGAAAATACGCTATTGTCACGTCGTATTTTAGTGTGAGTAATGACGATCATAATACAATTTGAGTTATATTGCATTTATATGACTTTCTTTTGCTTGCTGTATTTTCTGTTTTCAACAGATTTGGTTGCTAACTGCTTCAAATTTGGATGAGCGCAATGTCTATAAAAATTACATAAAGAAGCATATAGATGAAGGGAAGGATGTGTTGATAATTCCAATATGTCACGCTGACCATTGGCATGTCCTTGAGGTCAACTTGGGGCAAAAAAAATGCAGACATTACAGCTCCGCTGACCACGAGGCATGGGCTAGAGACATGTTGACCATCCAACTTTTTTTAGATAGGATGGTGAGTGGTTTCGATCAGGCGTCGACATTCAGAGCATTCCAATATGAAGCAGTCCCTTGTCGAACGCAAAAAGGCTCGTAAGTTTCTTATACTTAACCATGAGATTGGTTTTTCTGTGACATATAGTGTTTTCATGTGACATTTAGTGTTTGTTTGGGACCCTTAGTGTTTTCATGTGACATTTAGTGTTTGTATGTGACGTTCAGTACATGTATGTGATATTTAGTGTTTGTATGTGGCATATAGTGTTTTCCTGTGACATTTAGTGTTTGTATGTGACATATAGTGTTTTCCTGTGACATTTAGTGTTTGTATGTGACATATAGTGTTTTCGTGTGACATTTATTATTTTCCTGTGACATTTTGTATTTTCCTGTGACAGTTTGGTGTTGATTAGAATATGTCGCTTATACATTGATTGTCTTCTACATTTTGTAGTCGGACAATTTTTGAGGTTGAAGACCACACTATATGCAGATATGATATGCTACATCTTCTACGTGGTGGAAGATTAAAGGATGAGGTTAGTTTTTGTTTAAGTTGCGGTGTTAATCAAGTTTTGCACAATTACAATAACTTATTACATTTGCAATCATCAGATCATTGAAGCTCTGGTTGCAAGTCTTCGAACATGGCTCAAGCTGCCAATAAATGCCCATGTCGAAAGAAAATACGCTATTGTCACGTCGTATTTTAGTGTGAGTAATGACGATCATAATACAATTTGAGTTATATTGCATTTATATGACTTTCTTTTGCTTGCTGTATTTTCTGTTTTCAACAGATTTGGTTGCTAACTGCTTCAAATTTGGATGAGCGCAATGTCTATAAAAATTACATAAAGAAGCATATAGATGAAGGGAAGGATGTGTTGATAATTCCAATATGTCACGCTGACCATTGGCATGTCCTTGAGGTCAACTTGGGGCAAAAAAAATGCAGACATTATAGCTCCGCTGACCATGAGGCATGGGCTAGAGACGTGTTGACCATCCAGCTTTTTTTAGATAGGATGGTGAGTGGTTTCGATCAGGCGTCAACATTCAGAGCATTCCAATATGAAGCAGTCCCTTGTCGAACGCAAAAAGGCTCGTAAGTTTCTTATACTTAACCATGAGATTGTTGCATGGCTTGTTGTATGGCTTAGTGACATTGTCGGTGCAAATATTGATGTGATATTTGCGGACTACAAGTGACTTTTGGGCATGTTATGTGACAGTTTAGTATGCAGTGTGACTTATGCTGCTATTATGTGACATTTTGATATTGTATGTGACATATTAGGTAACTTCCATTTATTCTCGTTACCCGTTACATATCCTGCTATTAAGTGTTATGTTATATTTTTACAGATATGATTGTGGCATACATGCGTATTTTTTCATTAAGGCGATCCTCGAGGGAAGGGAGGTGATGGACATTGAAGTCTTGCACAGGGAGTCGCATATGCTACGGGCTAGACTTGCTGCTCAAATTATATGTGAAGGGCGTGAATGGAAAAAGCTACGGTTGAAATTAGACAGTGATGATCCAGAATATCTATTGTACTTCGGGGGTAGTGATGCACCTATGATTGAGTGGAAGTATTAGACTCTAGATGTAATTGTTTCATTTGTTGGATGTCCTGTGATGGATGTTGGTCGTTTAACTGCTGTTTAACTGCTGTTTGTAAATGATAACCAGTTTACTAACATAGATGGATATGACCTGGTGATCTTTTCTTTACCATATTAAAGATGAACAAGTGACTTGGTGCTGTGTGTGACTTTTGGGTCTGCTGTGTGACATTTTAGAATGCTGTGTGACTTCTGCTCTATTTATGTCACAGTTTGATATTCTGTGTGAGATTTTGGTGCTGTTATGTTGCTCGGTTATAGAGATTTTTTTGTCTTCTACATGCGTATTTTTCCATCAGGATGTTAATGTCACACAGAATGTTATGTCACATATAAGTAGTGATGTTATGTTGCTCAGTTTGATATTTTTCCATCAGGATGTTGTTGGGTCCTCGAGGGACGGGATGTTATGTCACACAGAATATCATAAAGGCAAAATTAGTAAATGTCGCAACAAAATAGCGCAATTATCTATATGTCTAAACAGGTAATACGTCACACGAACAGGTGATATGTCACATATAAGTAGTTAATGTTGCCCAAAATGTAATAAATTTCATTTACATGTAATACGTCACATATAAGTACAAAACGTCACAACAAAACGGCAAAAGTAACATGTAACAAAAAATAATCACAAAAGAGTCCGCAATCTGCCAGGAAACGTTAATCTTGGATAGGTTCAGTGCATGTGGCTCGGTTATGTCCTTCAGCGTGACATCTTGAGCATCTAATTGCACGTCTATTCTCAGATCTGTTGTTGATACGTCTATTCTTGTTCCTTCCACGTCTCTTTGTCGTCTTTGGGGGAAGAATGCTAATTGTTTCATCTGTGACATCTGGCTTATCGTAATTTGGAACAGGAAAGAGGATTGGTTCGTAACTTCTCCTGAAAGCTTCAGTCGTCATGAACCAATCGCAGAACTGGTACACATCTCTATGCATGAAGTTAATAGCGGCACACGCATGTTTACATGGTATTCGCAATATATCCCATGCACGACACGTGCATGTTTTGTGATCCAAATCAACTTGTACTGATTTTTGTGATGATACCTCAAAGATTTCAGCTGTAGAATGCGATACTTCAAGAGTGCTTCCCTTGGTGACATTTTCTTGGAGGATTTTTTCCGCTTCAGGACAAAGATAGCTATTCCATTTTGTTGCCATCTCGCGACGAGTATTCATCCTTTCCATAATTTGCACACGAATGTGATCCATCATATCGCAAATGGGAAGTGTTCGCGCCACACGAATCCAACTGTTGAAAGATTCAGCGACATTGGAAGTGATATGCCCATATCTGATTGAAAACAAAAAATCATTACCACAATTTACCGCTATGTGTCACAAATAACTGACAAATGTCACAAATAACAACAAATGATCACAGATAACGGCTATTGGTCACATGTAATGGAGTATTGTCACACGATACAAGTAAAGGTCACACGTAACAGACGAACGACCCATATAAAAGCGAAATGTGACATTTAAAGGCTCAAATTCATATAACAGCATAATATCACCAGTAAAGGTAATGATAATTGACGTACCTTATACCAGGAAATACAGAATTGGCCCAATTACTAGGACCATAACTTAGAGCTACTTGGTAAGCTCTTTGATCTGTCATTCGAATCTGACGCAAAACAGCATTAAATTCTCCTTCCGTGTACTTGTATGCAGCAAACTCCAATAATTTTGAAATACGTTGAGCAGCACTTGAGGCAAAACCCATCTCTCTAAGCTTCAATTTATAATTCTCAACAAGATGAAGTACACACCTAGAGTGGTACGCATCTGGAAATATATTTTTCAAAGATTGCTTTATTCCTTTGTCGGCGTCTGACAGAATTACAAGGGGATGGGGTGGATTGTATGGTTCTGTTCGATTGTACAATATATACCGCAATCCTTGAATAAACCAACTCCAATTCGCTTCATTTTCTTGGTCACAAACGGAAAATGCGAGTGGAAATATGCCTTGAATTACCATCATAAGCGGTCGCACCTAATAAGATCCCTTTGTAACGATCCTTCAGAAAGGTCTAAATATCACAAATAAGGTCTAAATGTCACATATAAGGTCCATAAGTCACATATAAGGTCTAAATGTCACATATAAGGTCTAAATGTCACATATAAGGTCTAAATGTCACAAATAAGGTCTAAATGTCACATATAAGGTCCATACGTCACATATAAGGTCTAAATGTCACATATAAGGTCCAAATATCACATATACGGTCTATATGTCACATATAATGTCCAGATATCACATATTTGGTCTAAATATCACATATAAGGTCTAAATGTCGAATAGTATATTGACATGTCACATTTACAGTTGGTCATATCACCTTCATTTGGTACCTAAAAATGTTGGTTAAATCACAAATAACTTGTTAAATGATGAACAATATCTAAATATCACATGTAATACTCAAATGTCACACATAAGGTACCAATATCACATGTAAGGTCTAAATATCACAAATAAGGTCTAACTGTCACATATAAGGTCCATAAGTCACATATAAGGTCTACATGTCACATATAAGGTCTAAATGTCACATATAAGGTCCAAATATCACATATAAGATCTATAAGTCACATATAAGGTCTAAATGTCACATATAAGGTCCAAATATCACATATAAGGTCTATATGTCACATATAATGTCCAGATATCACATATTTGGTCTAAATATCACATATAAGGTCTAAATGTCGAATAGTATATTGACATGTCACATTTACAGTTGGTCATATCACCTTCATTTGGTACCTAAAAATGTTGGTTAAATCACAAATAACTTGTTAAATAATGAATATCTAAATATCACATGTAATACTCAAACGTCACAAATAAGGTCCAAATATCACATAGAAGGTCCAAATATCACATATAAGGTCTAAAGGTCACATATAAGATCCATATGTCACATGGAATGTCCATATATCACATATAAGGTATATATGTCACACAGAAGGTCTAAATGTCACGTACAAGGTCCAAATATCACATATAAGGTCTAAGTGTCACATATTATGTCCAAACGTCACATATAAGGTCCAGATATCACATATAAGGTCTAAACGTCACATATAAGGACTAATTGTCACATATAAGGTCCAAATATCACATATAAGGTCTATATGTCACATATAATGTCCAGATATCACATATTTGGTCTAAATATCACATATAAGGTCTAAATGTCGAATAGTATATTGACATGTCACATTTACAGTTCCCGTGTTTGTTTCCATCACCTTCATTTGGTACCTAAAAATGTTGGTTAAATCACAAATAAGTTGTTAAATAATAAATATCTAAATATCACATGTAATACTCAAACGTCACAAATAAGGTCCAATTATCACATATAATTTCCAGATATCACATATAAGGTCGAAATATCACATATAAGGTCTAAATGTCACATGTAATGTCTAAATGTCACATCTAAGGTCCAAATATCACATATAAGGTCTAAATATCACATATAAGGTCCAAATATCACATATAAGGTCTAAATATCACATATAAGGTCTAAATGTCACATAGAATTTTGACATGTCATATTTACAGTTAAGTGTGATAGATATACGTTCTAAAGGAGACATCAACAATTCGCTTGGACTAACCAGGATAGTAAATCATATGAATGCCTTGCGCAACCAAATATTTGGTCTTTTGCCGTCTCCTTAGCACGCCAAGCTTTAGAATAATTAACTCTTAATCCATATTGAGAGTGCAATTCCTTTCTAATGTCAGTTGGGGTAATATATGGACGCCTCTTCATAACTGATTGTAGCATACTCGCAATCCACCTTCTTGATGCTCTGAAGTGACCAGCTGTGCTGTTATGTTGTCCGCATGTATGTTGAGGAACAAATTTTTTTATAGCAAAGGTTGACACATTCCTCAATGGTGAAGCGAAAAGCAACCACGGGCATTTTGTTTCTTTTCTGAACATGCAACTAGCACGAATACGTTTTGGCTCATTGTTAACATAATTAAAAGCAAACTTCTTAGCTATAGAGTAGTATATAAGAGCCATTCTAACTTCTTTTGCACTTTCAAATTGCTGCCCTTTTCCAGTAATTGCCTCGTGCCACCATGCTGGGATCCGTGACGAGTCACTTACTACATCGTTCATCATCCACACATGCTCTCCTTGAGGGTTGTCGTTTGGGATCCTCTCTGATTCCTCGATTGTGATCCTCTCATAAGGTTCCTCGATATGCTCTGATGACTGTGTGCTAACATTAGGAACACTGCAGGTTGAAAGATAAGGTCACAAGTAAGTCACGTGTGATACTTACCAGTAAAGTCACATATAAGACCTAAGTATCACAAATAAAGTCCATATGTCACAAATAAAGTCAACTTGTCACGTTGGATGTCTTCAGGTCACATATATAACGTAATATGTCACGTGTATCCAGAACCTGAAAATATATTTTTGAATACTTACCTAAGCTCCGTTTCTGTCCCTATGGCATGAGTGAGTCCTTCATCTCTTTTAGTAACAGTCATGGTTACTGTATTTAACCCCATTGAACGATGATAATCTATCATGTTGAGAATATCTTCATCTTTTGAAAGCTCAAATGAGACATTGGGAAACTTCTCGATAGAGTAACTTATCAACAAACTTTCGTACGATTCTCTAAAATTCTCTGCAACGATCATCTTCAATTCAGCAAATATTGTTGTCGAATTGACTTTAATGAGGGTTGCATTACTGTTAAATGAAATCACACACATTAAGGAATCTTCCATTGTGGTTGTTGAAGAAGTTAAGAGGAAAAAGTTAAGAATATAAATGGTTGTTGAAGGTCTTAGTAGTAGATCTAAAGAGGGAAGAGTATATATTACATTGAAATGAGGCATGAACAATTTTGGAGGGAACTTAGTATCTTTTTCCCTCCATTTTTCCCTTTTCCCTCCATAAAACCTCT